TTTCTTGCTATATTTTAGATTGGGTATTGATTGCTTTTAATCGACTTTATAAAAAAAAATTTCGTACCATTCATGGATTTTTTTGGGTAGAAATATTGTTTGGAAAATAGTTATTAAATATTATCCTGTTGTTAATAGATCTGACTTGACATTCATTTTCAAACTTTTCATTTCTATATTTGCCGCTCTGAATGCCAAATTAAAATTCACACATTTCTCACAATGACAAAAATTATCGGCGTCTTTTAATCTTCAATTGGCGATGAAATTTTTCTTTCTCAGGTTTATGAGCATGCGGCACTCATTTCCACCGATGAATGTTGAAGCTAAACCATCATATTTTAATTCCATTTTTTTAAATCAAAAAGAAAATGTCCAAACACGGGCATAAAAATTCAAACCATTTTGCCTTCGCATCTCAATCACGCGCATGCGCCATCATACAATGCTACCCCGACCACGCAAACATACGACAACTTTTGTAATCACGTTAGGTCCCTTATAATTGGAACATTAATAATTTTATAGTTACAGCTTCGAGTCTACTCCAGGTTGCCCACCCAGGTTGAAAATAATAATTTCCCACTACCATTCTAGAAATATATTCTCCAAGGTTTTGTTATGCAAATTTGACGTTTTCAATTTTATATTGAAAATTTAGAACTTAAATCGGCTATTTTTATTCGACTGGTAGGGCACTTTACGTGGCTGACGGGAATAGCGTCACCACCGAAAGTTGCCGGCCCTGCTGATCCTCATAAGTACCCAATTAGCCCTGGTTTAGAGCAGGGCTCAGCAGCCTTCAGATAGTCGGAGGCTAGCCTATTTACGCGGGTCGGGATAATCCGCTCCATGAGTTGCCACTGTTGACTTAGGAATATATTCCTGGAAATTCCATTGCAGATTTTCATATTACACTTTGAATTTTGCTAATTGTGCAACGTCTAAATGAAAAATGAATTGTTTTATTCATAACATGAAAAAATATTTTTTTTTTTCAATTGTCCCAATATTGTTCATCCCTCCAAAATATTGTATTTTATTTATTGGATTCTGGCGAATATCGTCTAAACACAAAATAATTGTCAAGGGTGACTTCTCAACATGAAGGCATTAAAAAAAACTTTGCGCATAATATTGCTGCCTATTTCCAGTAAAAAATTGACATTTATAATTCAAAATTATGAAAAGTTAAAAATTGCTGCTCGATCGCAACGGCCACCCTCTGCCCGTACCGATCGAACCAGGAGTCAATGAGAAAAAAAAACCGAATTAGAGCAGGTTGTTTCTCTAAGTAGATGGGGCCCCTCTCCCAGCTGTCACTAACAAACCTCGGAAGCCACGTGAGTCCATGTTGCAGGGCCCTGCTCTAAACTCTAAAGCTGCGGAAAAAGGTGTCCGCACAGAAGAAATAAGAAAAGTAGCTGGCTGGAGTGATTCACATGTATTCGCGGAATTTCATCAAAAACCTATTGTCACCAAGAAACATACTTTTCTACGTATTGTCATCCTTAATGAGAAACCTTGAATGTTTCGTAAAACGCTGCTACTCAAATAAAGGTTCCAAACCTCTATACTTTGTACTCTTCAATGGCGAGACACGAAGAATAATTGACAGATCAACCCAGCCCAAAGATCGAACATCGATTTAAATTATACGAGTGGATCACCCGAAAAATTACCCATCCTATTGTTCCAATTCCCGCGGAAAAATAAAAACTCAATTAATTATTTCTGCTTCAAAACATAACAAGAAAGTACAATTTTTTGTTTTTTTTTCTTAGATATCATTAAACCCAATGAGGAAAATAAGCATTATGGGGCGCTATCTCAAGAGGGAACTTTTGCAATTAATTTTAAGTTTTAAAACTTGTGACATATCGGCATAATTAACGTTACTATGAGAATGGCACAGGGGGCGAGTGGATAAGGTACAGACCTACGGAGCGGAAGGTCTCGGGTTGAAATACTGGTTTGGTTTGGTACTATTTTACTGAAAATAATAATGCTAGTGACAAAACTTTTACATCAATCCCAGTCTGCACCGTCCATTTTGTCAGAAAAATTTTGCTTTGATTCATAGAAGACGAAAAGTTTTTATATTTAACGTTCTCAATCTTATGACGAGGAAATCGTTCGAAAGAATGATGGGTTAGGTTGGAAAAGAAACAGGCTAATTGTCGAAATAAGTTTTACAAGAAAAATATACTGAAAAAATGGATAGTCCACACCGGGATTTGAGCCCGGGACCTTTCGATTGTGCAACAGTGAGCTGTAGAATTATTTTCATTATCCTGCCAGTGAGTGTAGCAGGAACTATTTATTTTGTTCAGTGTTTTGAATGTTCCAAGGATAAAAACTTACCCAGCTTACCCAGGTCATTTCATTCAAACCCCCATTTCCCTAGAACGTTTTCTATAAAATCTAACTTATAAAATATATGCACGCAAAAAGTGTAATATCTCTGGACCTACTTGGCCGATTGCGCTCATCTAAAATATGAACCTTTTAGGTTATTTCTACAAGTGTACAAAATGTCAAGTTGCTATTTCTATTTTTTGCTAATTTATCATATTCATAGCGTTTATAATGATAAAACCTGAAAATAGTGGAATCACGAAATTTTCTCCGACCAAATGTAGATATTTCGATTAATCGCTGCGAAAATAATCGCTTCTCACAAACTCTCGCCATTGGAAGTGACTTCCCGTCTGGTGGAAGTCTCTAGAATCGCGAAACGGTCGAGAACCAGTAACTGGTAAAAATACCACGTTACAACAGAACCCACTGAAATGAGTATTTTGAAAAAAAAAATTGAAATCCTCGCAAAATGAAATTTACAAAAGTTGCTATATGTCAAGACCTGTTTGGCCGGTCTAGCCGAAACGACGCATTAAAGTGAAGGTTAATGATAGCTACCAGAACTTGAAAATTTAGGTTTTAGCTACAAATTGCACCATATTTATGTAGAATTTTCTCAAAGTTAATTATACAAATTCGAAATTTTCCAGCACATACACACAGATATGACCTAAAAATATAGTTTTTTCGCGTTTCATAAAATTATAGATAACTTGCAATTGAAATCATAGACTCCAAAAAACGGTCAAATATAAGGCTTTCATTCGGAAGCAGGAAAGAAACAAAAACTATCTACACGAGATAACCAGATAATCCAACTGGGCCATAATATTAAAAATTTTTAATTTAAAATTTGCATCTATTTTGGCGGGTCGGCAAATTGTAGTTGAGTCGCACGTCATGCTAGGCGAGTGTCATCATTTCTTGGTCTCATTTAGAGACAAAGCCAAGTTTCGGATGGGCGTTAGAATTGTGAAATTCTTCCGACCCTAGTAATTAGATGACTTCCATCTACCTGAAGTTTTCCAGGCTCTTGTTTAGTCCCGGCCCTTTCGCTACATGTTATTAGAATCATCCTTTCAAGCGATTAAAGTGTTCTAACCGCACCTTCCCTTCATTATTTAATAAATGACGCCAAAATAAATAAGAACTCTTACGTTTTCAACTTAAGGCCCGGTTGGAGTATCGGATTATCTCGTATAGACAGTTTTTTTTTCTTACTTTTTTCTCTGAAACTTTGGTGCGGTCCTGCATGAAGCAAAGCTGTATCACACAAATGCATGCCGACTGAAAAAAAAATACTAAGAAAACCAAAAATATAGAGTCCGTGATTTTTAATTAAAAGGTGAGGGTACAAAAAGTAGGATGAACGCATACCGAAATAATTTTTTTCAAAACATCCAAACATCAAAATGAAACTGCAGCGTTCATTCTACTTCTTGTACCCTCCTGCCCCTCATCACTTTTTCGGGACATTTGCAAGTGATCAGGTAACGAAATTATAACTAAAATTATTTAATAATTCTTCAGAGGACGACTTTATGAAATAATGCCCTACCAATTGCACGGGAAGGTATCTTCCTTTAACCCCCCCCCCCCCCCCCCCCCCCCCCCCCCCCCCCCTCTCCATGACATCAGATATTTCTCACTTGTACTTTTGTACAATCCTCCCATTTTACATGCATTTACATGCATTTAGGGGTGCAGTTCTGCTTGATACAGGACTGTACCAAAGTTTCAGATAAAAAAACAAGAAAAAAAAATAGCTATACGAGATAATCAGATACATATACAGATACCAAACGGGCCTTCATTTTTTGTTATGCCCCAGATAGTGGTCAATTAGGTTATTGTTAAATATGTGGATATACAATGTATATGTATATTATACATCATTGTCAGGGTGACACTTGCGAGCATAACTGGATTATGCTTACCAAGTAATGACACACAAACAATTATATATTTAAGAGGCTTTTTGGGTATGCAGAAAGAAAAAAAAACGAAAATCAGATGACTGACTGAAAACAATAGCAAAAACCATTTAGGAATAGGATTTTACTCAAAAACTATCCAGTCACTTAGGCTGGAATTGTGGACACAGTTCGTCCTAGTCAAATGATATAATTTGGCGAAATTTCGGATTCTGTCAAATGAGTTTAGTCAATTAATTATTTAAATTTACAAAAAATGGACATTGACACGGACAGCCATAGTTGCCAAACTTCGTATGTTTACGTGACACACCAATTAATATAATTTCCAAAAAACAGAACTTGGTGATCGATTAGAATGCTTCAATTCGGAAGCAAAAAGAACAATGAAAATATCGAAAATCTGATTAATTTTCAGACAAAAACGATTAAATTGAAGGTCAGACTTAAGGAATTATATATCAAGGTTGAAATGAATGTCACCACTATCAGTAGCTACTCGTAATTGTATTATTGTATAATTAATTATATAAATTATGACGGTATGACCTTGGACAGGACCGCGACAATAAGTGACCCTAATTAGTGGATGTCAAAGTTTTCAGTCTGAACCATGGATGGAAAAATAGTTCTTAAAAAGCGAGTCGAGGAAGGGGTTGATTTAAAAAGATACCCACTAGATAATAATTGTAACTTGATTCTTACATTCAATAATCCAGGAGCACTGGTGATTTCGCTGTATTCATTGCACCAAGGATGATGAACAGGCGGTGACACACGTAGGACTGGTTTCTCCAGTGGAAATTCAGGAGACAAAGATACTATAATGGCCATGCGCTTTTCCCCAGCATTGAATTCTACTTGATACTCAGTATCCTCTCTCAACTCTACTACACTGCGAATAAATATATGAAGTAAGCATATCAGTAGCTTCGTAGATTTACTCTACCAATTTCCAGATGTGGAATCGGAGGAACAGAAATACGAACTTCAGTAAAAATTATGACTGGTAAAACGAAAAAATAGAATAACATGAACGCAGAATGCAAAGTCGCATCAGTGCGATTGTTTCGTCGAAAGAAATTACTATGAAACAATAAAAAAAGTATAATTATCCAATCTATGTCCTAATTTACGACCTAAGAAATTGAATAAGGTTATCCAAACATTGAATATCAAAATATCTCAAATAATCAGAAATATATAATTACTTGTCATTGAAAATTTTCAGTGTGTCAATTTGTCGTTTCCTCTTGATGGCATTTTCATTTTCTCCATTAAATATGTTGGATATCATTTAAATGTCTGAATATTGAATGATGCATTCGCCTTCACTCTTTATCAGAAAAATACTGTTATTTCTGTTCCTGTCACCCAATGTCGTCGTCATAGAATGTTTTATACACAGATCTACTATTGACTAAGTGCTACACATCCCAACCCCCGGGTATTTACCCGACAAAAGTCAGTAATTCGAAAAACGCACTTATGTACTCGATTGTACATCGTTAGTGCATGATTGTACCTATAAAATTTTTGCTTGTACATCAACTGATTAATTTAAAAAACTTAATTCAATTTCGGCATGATCTTAGCCAACAAGCAAAAATTGATCAATAAAAGCAAATTAGGGGTGTTTTCCGAAGGAAATCGTTTGTACATTACGAATTTCATGTTTTCGTCGTTTGTACATTGATTGTTAATGAGTTAAATCCATTTGAAAAATCATGGTTTAAGTTGCGCGTCTCTATATTATCGATTTCTGCTCTTTGTTCTGTGTCTAAATGGGCTTTCGCCGGTGACTGGTAGTTGGCCTCACATAATTGAAAATTCATTAGTTTTTTCATTTAGATCAATAGTAGGACCTTTGTACATCATTGTAATACCATTAAAAAATTTTGTAGACCCTTCATTATTTTTTAATTAATTAAACAAAATAATGATCGGAAGTTAGCACCCTACCCCACTAATTTTTATTTGTAGACCGAAATAACATTAACCAATGGAAAGCAAATCGTTTGTAGATACTAAATAAATTGGTATCATCCTTCTACACCTGATTGTTCATTAGATATTAATTAAATTAAAAAATGGTCTGTAGTGTTTACATCGGCGCATGCGCAGACACGTACCCTCGCACAGTTCGGCACCATGCACTTGGAAGCAATATTAATGTTGATCCACATTACCATCGACTCAATCTCGAACACCTATCGACTCAGTGCACAACTCGATCCACCCACTGATCTCTATATAGAGATCAGTGGATCCACCCTATCGAGTGGTCCGCCAGGGTTGGCAAGATTAATTTGGTTCTACAAATGAAAATTAGGAAAGTCCGATGGTAACTTTTGCATATTATTTTCATTAATTAGTAAGAAATCAAAGAAAGGCCTACAAACTTTTTAATCACTATTACAATGTCATACAAATGGTCCTCACAATTCCTCTTTGATGATCGAAAACACCATGGGTGTGTTCCGCCAGGGAACAGTACAAGTCCAGTAATAGTGATTTCTAGTGCATTTTAGATTTGGTAACTAGCGGTTGGTACTGTTACTGGAGTTGTGTTTCACACGGCTAGTAACAGTAACAAGAGATGTCACTAACTAATAAACAGTGTTCAACGCTGAAGTCTTCCGTTAGGGCCC